GATCTACTGACCTCATGATCCGCCCGCTTCGGCCTCCCAGAGTCCTGGGATTACAGGTGTGAGCCACCGCGCCCAGCCTTTTTTTTAAGAGACAAGGTCTTGGTATGTTGTCTAGGCTGGTCTCGAACTCCTGGCCTCAAGCAATCCTCCTGCTTCAGGCTCCCAAAGCTGGAATTACAAGCGTTGAGCCACTACATCCAGATACCTTCTTCCATCTTCAAAATGTTTTCATTTATCTTACAAATAATACATGCGTTTATCATTTCAGGATTTGGTGATGTTCAGAGATGTGGCTGTAGACTTTTCTCAGGAAGAGTGGGAATGCCTGAACTCATATCAGAGGAATTTGTACAGAGATGTGATATTAGAGAACTATAGCAACTTGGTGTCACTGGGTAAGCATAGCATATCTGTGTCAAATAATTTAGTAATTCACAGGACTGAATTTCTGGGCTGTCTTTTTTTTCTAAGACAGAGTCTCGCTTGGTTACCAGGCTGGAGTGCAGTGGCGCAATCTTGGCTCACTGCAACCTCTGTCTCCTGGGTTCCAGCAATTCTCCTGCCTCAGCCTCCCAAGTAGCTGGGACTACAGGCGCGTGCCACCACACCAAGCTAATTTTTGTATTTTAAGTAGAGACAGGGTTTCACCATGCTGGCCAGGATGGTCTTGATCTCTTGACCTCGTGATCTGCCCACCTCGGCCTCCCAAAGTGCTGGAATTACAGGTGTGAGCCACCGCGTCTGGACTGTCTTTCTAAAAACTAGCTGTCTGCTTTGTGGTTTGACAGTAGCTACCACTATTAAGCACCTTCATCTTTTCCTATTCATTGACCTTTACATTTTTCTTTGACTTTTCTGTTATTACCGGTCTTTAATGACAGCTGGATATAAATTCTTAGACACTCATGGCAAAACCATTGTCAAAGAAATTGGATTTCATACTGCTATGGATAGTCAATGTTACTTGTAACTCATTTACAGTGAAAATAGGAAGACAGAGGTGTCTGGCTCTACATAGCTATTAAAACAGCTTTTATAGTGTATGTGATGCTGGGTTGAATCGAGAGTTTGTTTTTTTTTTTTTTTTTTT